GCTCCGAGTCTCCGCTCCCTCCGGGAATTTAACCTATTATGTGTTTTTTTTTTTTTTTTTTTACGTCTTCAGCTAATTGCTGCTCCCCTCTAATTAATGTTACGCTGCCTGCCGGGGCCCCTGGGGAGCCGAGGGGCCACCAGCCAGGCTGTTGTTGTTTGGAAGAACAGGTGCCCCTGTGATCCTGGGTGAGAGATGAAAATGAGGGAGAATATGAGATCAGTCAGCCACACTGGACCCCCTCCTGCACTGACATTGAGAACGCACTTTGATGGCGTTTGGCAACATTTAGGCATAGGGAACAAAAGTGAACTCCCCCCCCCCCCCCACACAACTGATCGCATCTCTAATACCCCCCTCCCCCTGGGCTTATCACATAAAGGATCAGTTAACCCCTTCATGATGAAGGGTAAAATAAATCTTAACACCTGAACTCGGTTTTTCAACTTTGACGTGTTAATAAAATTGCGCATATCACCACAATGACTTAGTGTATCCAGGGGGATTATACCTCAATTTTGTTTCTTTTTTTTAAACGGGAGAAATTGGGCTTTCATTCAACAAATATCACCTGATTTTTTTTTTTATTATCAAAGGAAAACTGTTCCTAAATAGTAATAATATATATATATATATTATATATATATATATATATATATATATATATATATATATATTTTATTTTTTATAAATTGTATTTTTTTTTTTTTTTTTTATATATATAACTATATTTCTTGCTATTACCATAACTTACTACCAAAGAACAATCCAAAATAAATTCCCCTGTTCCTGATGATCGCAGCGGTACCACCTATGTGTATATGATTTGTTTTTGGTAGTAGGACCCAGAAACAATGGTGCGCAGTTTACTTTTTTATCCTACATAAAACACCCCGGACACAAATTTTAAAAAATGTTTTTTGTGTTTTTTATTTTAAACTAATTAACTACTTGACCTCTGGAAGGTTTTACCCCCTTCATGACCAGGATTTTTTGTTGTTGCTATTCAGCACTGTGCACCTTTACTTGGTATTTGTGCAATCATGCGACATTGTACCCAAATGGAATTTATATAATTTTCTTCCACACAAATAGACACCTCTGTTGGTGGTATTTAATCACCACTGTTTTTTGTTTTTTTTATGCTGCAAATTTTGTTTAAATTTTGTTTATCACGTTATAAAATTTTGCAAACAAATAATATTTCTTCATAAATTTAGGCCAAAATGTATTCTGCTGCATTTCTTTGGTATAAATAACCCACATCAGTGTATATTAGTCTGTGTGAAAGGTATAGAGCAGAGGTCACTAAATGGTGGACCGTGGTCCGCGAAAGGCCCCAGCAGCGCTGCGCACAGTCCGCCTGCCCGCAGTGACAGATCCGCCACTGAGCAGGGCAGTCGTCACGGCAACATGACATCATGTGTCTGATGGCGACACCTAATGTAAGGGGGCACACTGGTGGGCACACCCTATTCGGACCTCGGCTAGAAGAAAATTTTACTGACCGGACCTCCTTGAATTTTCATTCAATACCCCTGATATAGATCCAAATGTGCAAATAGACGTCACTTGAAAGGGGCCTGCATGCCGTGACGTCTATTTGCACATTTGCGAAATTAGTCAGTAATTGTTTTTACTTGCTTTTATTTATATCTGAGTTATTTTACCACGTGGATTAATAAATACCTATTTTAAAACTACTACACTATGGGCTATTTCTTGCTGGCTCCGCGATGAGCCCCATATCCGTTCCAGAGCCCGAGCATCATAAGCCTGTGACACCTGATACCGCTCTAAGGATGACCAGGCCCTGATGTAGGCTGCCCAGTATCCTGTCCATTTCCCAGAGGGAGGCAACAGTCTGGCCGCTCTACACCCAGAGGAAGGAGAGTCCGCTAAGCGGCCCAGCTCATCCATCCCATCCCATGAGGGGGACCTCTGGTTTATTTATCACAGGCGTATTGAAAATACGCATCTGGTGAGTGCGCATTTTCACTATTTGTCACCAGACCACAGGATCAGAAAAGTCACTATCAACTTCTGAATAGTTCACCTATCACGAATTGTCACTATTCGTCTATTGTTTTTAACACTTTATTGTGGTATACTGATTAGAATGTTTTTGGAATATATGTAGATATATATATATATATACCATATATATTTCTTTTAGTGCTGTACATTCTATATATATGTATTATAGAATGTATCTTGTATGTATACAATGTATTATTTAATGTACTGTACCTTGTATGTATACAATGTATTATATTATATAATGGATCCTGTATGTATACAATGTATTATATAATGTACCCTGTATGTATACAATGTATTATATAATGTACTGTATCTTGTATGTATACAATGAATGATATAATGGATCCTGTATGCATACAATGTATTATATTATATAATGGATCCTGTATGTATACAATGTATTATATAGTGTATCCTGTATGTATACAATGTATTATATAGTGTATCCTGTATGTATACAATGTATTATATAATGTACTGTATCTTGTATGTATACAATGTATGATATAATGGATCCTGTATGTATATAATGTATTATATAATGGATCCTGTATGTGTACAATGTATTATATAATGGATCTTGTATGTGTACAATGTATTATATAATGGATCCTGTATGTGTACAATGTATTATATAATGTACTGTATCCTTGTATGTATACAATATGTATGATATAATGGATCCTGTATGTGTACAATGTATTATATAATGTACTGTGTCCTGTATGTATACAATGTATTATATAATGGATCCTGTATGTGTACAATGTATTATATAATGTACTGTGTCCTGTATGTATACAATGTATTATATAATGTACCCTGTATGTGTACAATGTATTATATAATAGATCCTGTATGTATACAATGTATTATATAATGTGTCCTGTATGTATACAATGTATTATATGAATGTATCCTGTATGTTTACAATGTATTATATATAATGGATCCTGTATGTATACAATGTATTATATAATGGATCCTGTATGTATACAATGTATCATATACAATGGATCCTGTATGTATACAATGTATTATATAATGGATCCTATATGTATACAATGTATTATATAATGGATCCTGTATGTATACAATGTATGATATAATGGATCCTGTATGTATACAATGTATTATATAATGTGTGTCCTGTATGTATACAATGTATTGATATAATGTGTCCTGTATGTATACAATGTATGATATAATGGATCCTGTATGTATACAATGTATTTATATAATGTGTCCTGTATGTATACAATGTATGATATAATGTATCCTGTATGTGTACAATGTATTTATATAATGGATCCTGTATGTATACAATGTATTATATAATGGATCCTGTATGTATACAATGTATATATAATGTATCTTGTATGTATACAATGTATTATATAATGTATCCTGTATGTATGTATACAATGTATGATATAATGGATCCTGTATGTATACAATGTATTATATAATGGATCCTGTATGTATACAATGTATTATATAATGGATCCTGTATGTATACAATGTATTATATAATGTATCTTGTATGTATACAATGTATTATATAATGTATACTTGTATGTTTACAATGTATACAATTATATAATGGATCCTGTATGTATACAATGTATTATATAATGGATCCTGTATGTTTACAATGTATTATATATATAATGTATGCTGTATGTATACAATGTATTATATATTATATAAAGTATCCTGTATGTATACAATGTATTATATAATGGATATGTATGTATATGTATACAATGTATATTATATAATGGATCCTGTATGTATACAATGTATTATATAATGTATGCTGTATGTGTACAATGTATTATATAATGTATCCTGTATGTATACAATGTATTATATAATGGATCCTGTATGTGTACAATGTATTATATGATGGATCCTGTATGTATACAATGTATGATATAATGGGTCCTGTATGTATACAATGTATGATATAATGGATCCTGTATGTATACAATGTATTATATAACGTGTCCTGTATGTATACAATGTATTATATCATATATGGATCCTGTATGTATACAATGTATCATATATGGATCCTGTATGTATACAATGTATGATATAATGTGTCCTGTATGTATACAATGTATTATATAACGTGTCCTGTATGTATACAATGTATCATATATGGATCCTGTATGTATACAATGTATGATATAATGGATCCTGTATGTATATGTATACAATGTATTATATAACGTGTCCTGTATGTATACAATGTATTATATAACGTGTCCTGTATGTATACAATGTATTATATAATGTACTGCATGTTGTATGTTTACAATGTATTATATAATTTAATAATTTTATGTATACAATGTATCTTTCTCTCCATTCAAGAGGAGAGAAAAAAAACCTGTGATAGCCAATCAGAGGCATCCAGTTGACTGGTAATCAGGCTTCCTGGTTCCCGATCATTAGTACGGGACCCGGGGCTCTTGGTAAAAGCTTGCTCCCTATGTTGGAAGTTCGCTGTGCAGCGCACTCCCAGCGCAAACACATGCACACATATGTGTGTCCTCACAGACCCACTTCCATGAGGCTGCATGTATGTGTTCATGCGGCAGGAAGGGGTTAATGGTTAGCAAGGCGGAGTCATTCTTGGCTTCCAATAGGTCTTGGATACTCCAGCAGTGAGCTCTCCCATCCTCAACAACACGTTAAGTTAATGACATTTTTAAATAAAACATTTCCATTTTTGCTATATAACTTTTTTTTTTTTAGACCCAATGACATCATCACTTGACCTCTGTGCTTCACTATGCAATGTAGACAGATTATGGCTGGTGGATAGGGCCAGCAGGTTGCCTAATATAGCTTCCTGAAAACATCAAGCACCCTTCATCAGTAACCCTCTCGAGCCCTCAGTCCTGATGCAAGGAGTGTGCGGACACTTGAGAGGAGTTATGCAAATATTACAATGATTTGATGTGTGGGTGTCAGTCTGGAGAAGTAGGTGTTCCTAGACAGGGTGTATTTGCATGCAGACCACCCTAGGCAACACCCACCTGTGATGTTAAGCCCCCATAATTGAAAGGGGTGAACCATGGACAGTCAGGCTGGGGAAGAAAGTGCTAGGTAATGCTGGGTGTCCTCCAGCCAAGAAATGAGGTGGAGCTCTATCTGACTTGCTGCAGCTTCTAATGCACCTTGTGAGAAGCTCACAGTGTGCAGTGACATTAGAGGAGGGGAGGAGCCCCTACACCTGTGCAAGACCGAAGGGGAGGAGCCAGTACACCTGTGGAAGACTGAAAGGGAGGAGCCAGTACACCTGTGGAATACTGAAGAAGAGGAGCCTGTACACCTGTGCAAGACCCAAAGGGGAGGAGCCAGTACACCTGTGGAAGACTGAAGGGGAGGAGCCAGTACACCTGTGGAAGACTAAAGGGGAGGGGCCTGTACACCTGTGCAAGACGGAAGGGGAGGAGCCAGTATACCTGTAGAAGACTGAAAGGGAGGAGCCGCTACACCTGTGCAAGACTGAAGGGGAGGAGCCTGTACACCTGTGCAAGACTGAAGGGGAGGAGCCGCTACACCTGTGCAAGACTGAAGGGGAGGAGACAGTACACCTGTGCAAGATTGAAGGGGAGGAGCCCGTACACCTGTGCAAGATTGAAGGGGAGGGGCCTGTACACCTGTGCAAGATTGAAGGGGAGGAGCCCATACACCTGTGCAATACTGAAGGGGAGGAGCCTGTACACCTGTGCAAGACTGAAGGGGAGGAGCCGCTACAACACCTGTGCAAGATTGAAGGGGAGGAGCTGGTACACCTGTGCAAGACTGAAGGGGAGGAGCCGGTACACCTGTGCAAGACTGGAGGGGAGGAGCCTCTACACCTGTGCAATACTGAAGGGGAGGAGCCAGAACACATCTGCAAGACTGAAGGGGAGGAGCCACTACAACTGTGCAAGACTGAAGGGGAGGGGCCTGTACACCTGTGCAGGACTGAAGGGGAGGAGCTGGTACACCTGTGCAAGACTTAAGGGGAGGAGCTGCTACACCTATGTAAAACTGAAGGGGAGGAACTGTTTACACCTGTGCAAGGCTGAAGGGGAGGAGCAGGTACACCTGTGCAAGGGCTCAGATGTACCCTTCCCCAATATCAACCCTGACACCTACAGTCACCCCAATCCTTCATCCAACTGAAACCTGCAAAACATTTTTCTAAGTAGCATTAGAACCTCTGCTGACCCCGCCCCTCCCCCTCACCCCCCCATCTGTGTTCACTTGGGGGGAGTCACCTTCTCTTCTGGTCCCAGGGACACCCCAGGATGTGTACAATTAGCATTAGATTTAACCCTTTTGCTGCCAGAGCTGATTTTGTTGTTTTCTGCACAAGTGTAAAAAAAAAAAATCATTTTAGGTCTGAAGATGAATTAAACCCCCAACAGATGATTCTTTTTGAAAGCAGAGACCCCGGAGAATAAGATAGTTGTAGTCCCAATTGTTTTATGCCTTATGATTAGTGCTGGGCTGCATGTTGGACTGGAACATGGGCCACTCGTCTGCTTGGTGAACACACGAAAAGGGCGTTCTTCGGGCTCTTTGCCCACCGCACCCTACAATGCACTGCACCCTGACAGCGCATTGTGATTGGACAAAGCAATGCACATGACTATAGTTATCAGTCCGCCCCTGTGAAGAGGCCCTTGCCCCCAGCAACATGGGGACAAGGTGGTTTGGGGGGGGAGCCCCCCTACTCCAAAGCACCCCCCCCATGTTGAGGGCATGTGCCCTGGTATGGTTCGGGGGGGACTTGCTCTTCCCATCCCCCTTTCCTGACCTGCCAGGCAGCATGCTCAGATAAGGGTTTGGGATGGATTTTGGGGGGGACCCCCCATGCCATTTGTTTTTAATTTTGGCATGAGGATTCCCCTCAAAATCTATACTAGACCCGAAAGGCTTGGTATGGATGGGGGGGGGACCCCATGCATTTTTTTAGATTTTTTTTTTTTAATTGTCGAACAATGCCGATAATTCTTTTGACATTCAGCTGTCAGCCGGGAACCCCACTGACAGCGGAAACATGAATGAATGTCTCACTACTAAAATACCGCATGACTTCATCATAGAACTCCCGCCGGATTGTAGTCACTGAGTGGGATCTCACCACATACTCAGATGCAGGAAGATACCGATCAGTAAATTGTCCCAGTTCGAAGTTGGTGGTCGAACTTTCATTAGGTTCGAATGTTCGACCGCAAACCAAACAGGGGGGTGTTCGGCCCATCACTACTTATGATATTAGTGCAACAGTTTAACATTAGTGTATTCTTTATTTTTCCATCACATCACACTTTAAAAGGCCCACATAGGGCTGAAACGCATAAACGCTGGGATCTACATTGTAACTTGTAACCTGGGAAACAGTAAACAGAAATTGAAATCTTCAATGAGAGTGCATAGGCTATGATTAAGGCCCACATAGGGCTGAAACGCGTAAATGTTGGGATCTACATTGTAACTTGTAACCTGTGACGCAGTAAACAGGAGTTGAGATCTTCAATGAGAGTGCATAGGCTATGATTAAGGCTCACGAAGGGATGAAACGCGTAAATGTTGGGATCTACATTGTAACTTTTTACCTGGGACGCAGTAAACAGAAGTTGAAATCTTCAATGAGAGTGCATAGGCTATGATTAAGGCTCACGAAGGGATGAAACGCGTAAGGGTTGGGATCTACATGGTAACTTCTTACCTCTGATGCAATAAGCAGAAATTGCGATCTTCAATGAGAGTGCTGCTTTGTGTAATTACATTGGAAGATTGGCAGACAGGAGCTGGCAGAGAGCACCATAAACCTGCACTAGACATGTGGGGTTCGTTTCGTTCCGAATCAAAATTCGGACAAAATTTTTCATTATTTGGAGACACCGAATGACAATAGTAATGAATTTAAACAAATCAGGAATAACAAAACTAAATTCTGTCTGAAAATCAGATCGAATTCAGATTGAACTTGAATCGAATTAGAAAACTTTTTCGAAAACATATGTAAACATATTGCTGATTTTCTTCAAAGACTACTTGTATTAGTGTTAGAATACAGCCGTCTGCAGGGTCTCCACTTCTCCACTTCTTCTGGGAGTTCCCTAAGCTGCGGGATTTCTGGACCATGGTGGAACAGATGGTGGAAACGCTACCGGGAGTATCTCTTGGAGGAAATCCTGCAGCTCTTCTCCTACATGACACACCCCTTCCAAAGAAACGCTATAAAATCTCTCTATTGGAACATCTCCTTAACCACAAGCCTACGGGGCACTTCTACCCCCTTCCTGCCTACGGGGCACTTCTACCCCCTTCCTGCCTACAGGGCACTTCTACCCCCTTCCTCCTACCGGGCCTTCTACCCCCTTCCTGGGCACTTCTACCCCCTTCCTGCCTACGGGGCACTTCTACCCCCTTCCTGCCTACCACTTCTACCCCCTTCCTGCCTACGGGCACTTCTACCCCCTTCCTGCCTACGCCTACGGGGCACTTCTACCCCCTTCCTGCCTACAGGGCACTTCTACCCCCTTCCTGCCTACAGGGCCTTCTACCGGGCACTTCTACCCCCTTCCTGCCTACGGGGCACTTCTACCCCCTTCCTGCCTACCGGGCACTTCTACCCCCTTCCTGCCTACGGGGCACTTATACCCCCTTCCTGCCTACCGGGCACTTCTACCCCCTTCCTGCCTACCGGGCACTTCTACCCCCTTCCTGCCTACGGGGCACTTCTACCCCCTTCCTGCCTACACTTCTACCCCCTTCCTGCCTACCAGGCACTTCTACCCCCTTCCTGCCTACCAGGGCACTTCACTTCCTCTACCGGGCACTTCTACCCCCTTCCTGCCTACAGGACACTTCTACCCCCCTTCCTGCCTACAGGACACAGGACACTTCTACCCCCTTCCTGCCTACAGGGCACTTCTACCCCCTTCCTGCCTACCGGGCACTTCTACCCCCTTCCTGCCCAGGCCAATTTCCAGCTTTCAGCGCTGTCACACTTTGAATGACAATTGCGCGGTCATGCAACACTGTACCCATATGAAATTTTTATCATTTTTTTGTGAAAGATAGAGCTTTATTTTGGTGGTATTTAATCACCTCGGGGTTGTTTATTTTTTCTTAAACAAACCAAAAAACACTGAAAATTTGGGGAAAAAAAAGTTTTTTTTCTTAGTTTTTGTTATAAAATTTTGTAAATAAGTGATTTTTCTCCTTCACTGATGTGCGCTAATGAGGCTGCACTGATGGGCACTGATAGGTGGCACTGCTGGGCATTGACAGGCATCACTGATGGGCACTGAAAGGCAGCACTGATATATGGCATTGATAGGCGGCACTGATAGGCGGCACTGATAGGCGGCACTGACTGGCACTGATAGGTGGCACTGATTGGCAGCACTGATAGGTGGCACTGATTGGCATTGATAGGTGGCACTGATGGGTGACACTGAAAGGCAGCTCAGATGGGCACTGATATGTGGCATTGATGTGCACTGGTAGGCACTGATACGTGGCACTGATGTGCACTGACAGCTGGCACTGATGGACACTGACAGGTGGCACTGCTGGGGCTACACTGATCATCAGGGCCCTGATGATCAGTGTATATGTCCCCTCTGAGGAATGCCTATTACCGGCTCTCCTCTCCTCTGTCAGCGTGACAGCTCGAGAGGAGAAAAATGCCGATAACCGGCATTTCCCTGTTTACATGTGATCAGCTGTGATTGGACACAGCTGATCACATGACCGAGACGACATCTTCGGCTCTTTCCGTGGATCAGTGATCCGCTGTGTCCGAGGGACACAGCGCACCGCCAATCGCCACGCTGCACGCTCCTGGAGCCGCACATGCGCGGTTAGAATGGGAGGACGTCATATGACATCCTCCCAGAATGAGAGAACCACCTTGCATCTGTCATATTACTATATGTCGGGCGTGAGGTGGTTAAGGCAGCGAAAGCCCGCATCCCAGCATTATGGAAAAGTCCTCTGCCCCCTAACAAAACACACAGTCTTGCCCAAATCAGTGAGATTCAAGAGATGGAAAACCTAACTGTGATGCTCAAGGAGCATGAAGAAAAGTATTGGGAAATATAGACCCCCTATTTCTTTTACAAAGACCAAAGAGTGCTGGCCTCCCAATCATGAGTTGAGGAGAGCAATCGCAATACTTCTAATGTTTTCCAGCGGGACAGCAGGACTGATCCAGGAACAGGGCCAGGAGGATAGGTGGATTTTCTTCTTCTCCCCCTCTACCCAACCTATCTAACCCTCTTGTTGTCTACTCATTTCCACATTAAACTTTCCCCACTGGGATCAAATCTTGTTTTCCCCTCCAAAAGTACATATGAAAAGTAAAGGAGTAGATGGTATGCTATAGGGATGTGGATACAGTAAGCGGATCAGCTGCCTATATACATGCTGTACCGATTACACCAGAGCCCGGAGCATTGCTTGTACAGAAACTTGATTGAGTATCTTTGGGTGTAAAATGTTTTTCTGCATTCCTTCCAGTTGTATATTTGTTGGAAAATTCTGTCATTCTATTTCTTCAAAATAAAGAATTAAAAAATAAAAAGGAAGACAGAAAGAATGGTTTCTGGAGGTTGGACTTAGTAGAAATTCCAAGGGGTTCTGGTATATATTTGGGATGGATGAGTATCGAGAGTTTGCCTAATCTTTAGGTATCCAAAGATAATCCAGTTGGGCAGGTTGAAACTTGATTTGACGCATGTTGAAGTCAAGAAGGGAGCCCATTGAAAGAAGGTGTTGTAGTGTGGTTATTCTCAAACTAACGTGCAACCTGATTGTCACATTTTTCCTCAAAAAGCATAGGGATATCGACTTTCCACTGGTGGAATAGTTGCAAAACACCCAATATATCTGAGACCATGAGGGGTAAATACATACAAGGATGACAGTGGCTTAGGGAGGTTGGGCTGCATTAGTAGTAGGTTCAAAGGAGTTCTGTTGTATATTGGGGTTGGATGAGAACTGACAGCATGCCTAATCTTTGAGTATCTAAAGGACATCCAATTGGGCGAGTTGAACCTTGATTTCAATGTGTTAAAGTCGAGAACGGGCCCACTGGAAGAACGTGCTGTAGTGTGGTTATTCATACCCTAATGCGTAATCCCATCATCACATTCTTCCTCCAAAAGCATAGGGATATCAGTGTTCCATTGGTGGAATAGGTTCAAGATGCCTGAGTCTATGACGGTACATACAAGGATGACAGTGGCTTAGGGAGGAGGGTTGGGCTGAATTAGTAGTAGCTCCAAGGGATTCTGTTGTATATTTGGAGTGGATGAGAATTGAGAGTGTGCCTAATTTTTAGGTATCCAAAGAACATCCAATTTAGCAGGTTAAAACTTGAACTCAACATGCTGAAGTCAAGAAGGGAGCCCATAGGAAGACATCATTGTAGTGTGGTTATTCTCACCCTAACATGCGATCCCATCATTGTATTTTTACTCAAAAAAGCATAGAGATATCAACTTTCCATTGGTGCAATAGTTGTAAAATGTCCGATATATCTAAAACCACGAGGGGTAAATGCACACAAGGATGACAGTGGTTTAGGGATGTTGGGCTGGATTAGTAGTAGTTACATGGGCTTCTGTTGAATATTTGGGATGGATGAGTATTAAGAGTGTGCCTAATCTGTAATTATCTAAAGAACATCCAATTTGGCAATTTGAACCTTGATTTCAAAATGTTAAAATTGAGAAGAGAGTCCATTGGAAGAATATGCTGTAGTGTGGTTCTTTCTACCGTAATGTGTAATCCCATCATCCCATTCTTCCTCCGAAAGCATAGGGATATTAGTTTTCCATTGATGAAATAGCTGGAGCCCATGAGGAGTAGATACATACAAGGATGACAATGGTTTAGGGAGGTTGGGCTGCATTAGTAGTAGCTCCAAGGGTTTCTGTTGTATATTTTGGCTGGATGAGAATTGAGAGTGTAGCAGCCTCCTAGGTACATTGCTAAAATGTACATAGTTTAGTTTAGTATGGTCTCCCGATTAACAAGAGACTGATAGGTGATTGGCTCCTCTGTACCCAGGAGACCTTGGAAGGTTCTGGGTGAACAGGAGTGGCCCATGCAAATCAGCAGCATGAATATGGATGCAGTTCCAGCCAATTACAGGGAGTGGTGCCCCTGAGAATGCTGGGTACTAGTATTTATATTCAGTGAGCCCATGTGATCTGAGTTCTTCCTCTTCCTGGAGTTCCAGCAGGGGAGGTGGCTGCCTCCCTGGTTCATGCTGCCAGGAGGCCCTTGGGTGGGTGACCTGAAGGCCAGAATGCCTGTAGACCAGGGGCGGACTGACCATTTGGAAACTCGGGCACTGCCCGAGGGCCCAGGGTCAGTAGGGGGCACCATGAGATGCCCCTGGTACCTTTTTCATAGGCTTTTTTGAGTTTGGGCAAGGACACAGGGGCCCCATGATCCCCTATTGCCCGGGGGCCCCATGAGTTGTCAGTCCGCCCCTGCTGTAGACATCCCCCTCAGAGAGCTGACTGAGGGGGATGTCTACAGATTCTGTCTGGTATTACAGATGAAAGGTTACCTGCAGCAAGGGCCTTGTGAGTACAGACTGTTCTACATGGATGCTGGGACTTGAGCTGTTTAACCCTCTTGGGACCTATATAGTCAGCTGCTGGGTTAAAGCTAGGGGGGGGCATCGACTGGTGTCCGGAAGAGCAATTGTCCACTAAGTCTGCATATCTACAGAGGGACTTTGCTCAATTCTTGTACAGTCTGCTACATAGTTCCACTCTGAGAAAGCTGTCCTCAGTTGTGCATAGTTTGATTCGGAGTATCCTACTATATACCTTCCCTATCCCAGTTCCAAAAAACAAAACAACCAAAAAACTACAACCCCTAGACTGATCATTGGAGTAACAAGCGGAGTTTGCATTTTTCCTCCAAGAGCATAGGGATATTGACTTTCCATTGGTGCAATATTTGTAAAATGCCCAAAATATCTAAGACCATGAGGGGCAAATACATACAAGGATGACAGTGGTTTAGGGAGGTTGGGCTGCATTATTGGCAGTTCCAAAGGGTTCTCTTATGTAATTGGGTTGGATGAGAACTGAGATTGCATAGCATGCCTAATCTGGAAGTATCTAAAGAAAATCCAGTTGGGCAAGTTGAACCTTGATTTCAATGTGTTTAAAGTTGAGAACAGAGACAAGTGGAAGAACGTGCTGTGGTGTAGTTATTCCCACCTTAATGTCTAGTCCCATCATCCCATTCTTATTTCTGAAAGCTTAGAGATAAGAAGAATATCAACTTTCCATTAGTGGAACATTTTTGAAATATTTGTGATATCTAAACTCATGTGGTGACGATACAAGGATCAGAGTGGCCTAGGGAGGTTGGGCTGCATTAGTTGCACATTCAAGTTGTTCTGTTGTATATTTGGGTTGGATGGTAGTTGTGATAGTGTAGTGTTCCTTATCTGTAAGTACCCAGGTGCCCAAAGAACATCCTATTGGTTGGGTTGAAATTTAATTTCAACGTGTTGAAGTTGAGAAGGGAGCCCACTGGTTGGTGGTTTTGTGGTGTGGTGTTTTAATTGTCACCCTAATGTGCAATCCCATCATCCCATTCTTCCTTTGAAAGCATAGGAATAATAGAGATATCAGCTTTCCATTGATGCAATAGCTGTGACACTTTCCAGATATCTAAGCCCGTGAGATGTAGCTACAAGGATGAGGTGGTGGTTTAGGGAGATTGGGATGTATTAGCAACTGTTGGGTTGGATGGAAATTGAATTGAACCTTCAACCTGCCACATTGGGTGTTCTTTAGATACTTACAAATTAGGTGGGAATAACCACACACATTGCTTTCTTCCAAAGGACACTCTTCTCAACTTCAACACATTGAGACTCAACCTTCAGCCTCCCACTCTGGCTGTTCTTTAGATACTTACAGATTAGGCTGGATTAACCGCACACAAACCCCTTCTTCCAAAAGGCATTCTTCTCAACTTCAACACATTGAGATCAACCTTCAGCCTACCACACTGGTTGTTCTTTAGATATCTACAGATTAGGTGGGAATAACCACATGCAACACCTTCTTTCAAAGAGCCTTCTTCTCAGCTTCAACAAATTGAAATCAACCTTCAGCCTACCACACTGTTTGTTCTTTAGATATCTACAGCATAGGTGGGAATAACTGCATGAAAACACCTTCTTCCAAAGTGCACTCTTCTCAACTTTAGCACATTGAATTCAACCTTCAGCCTACCACACTGGATGTTCTTTAGATACTTACAGATTAGGTTGGAATAACCGCACGCAAACACCTTCTTCCAAAAGGCATTCTTCTCAACTTCAACACATTGAATTCAACCTTCAACCTGCCACACTGGATGTTCTTTAGATACTTACAGCATAGGTGGGAATAACCGCATGCAAACACCTTCATCCAAAGGGCACTCTTCTCAACTTCAACACATTGAACCTTCAACCTTCAGCCTACCATAACTGGACCTTTGTTCTTTAGATACTTACAGATTAGGTTGGAATAAACGCAAGCAATACCTTCTTCCAAAAGGCATTCTTCTCAACTTCAACACATTGAATTCAACCTTCAACCTGCCACACTGGATGTTCTTTAGATACTTACAGCATTAGGTGGGAATAACTGCATGCAAACACCTTCTTCCAAAGGCACTCTTCTCAACTTCAACACATTGAATCAACCTTCAGCCTACC